CAAAACATTTTTAGAACATTTTTTGGTAGCTGGGTGTGTTCTTGAAAAATGAAACATTATTTAGTTATTATTGCTGACTGATTTGAAATAGATTGCATATTTCCAACAGTAACCGATTTCATGATGTAGGTGGATGCAGTAGCGTACAGTAAAATCAATCAATGACTAACAGTATTACCAGAGTCATCAATCAGTACTGTAAAACTGCCTGTGTGAAGCATCATTACTGTAGCGATTGTCTCACACAGACAGCAGATCACACAGAACGGGCCATCGCCCTACACAAACACACTGATCAGAAGCTCAAATCGAGCTCCAGCAGGTCTCATATGCAGTGATTGCTTGCCCTCCACTCGTCTAAGCACAAGCGCTGCTCCTGTTCTATTACAAAAGTCATCCATCAGTACAGTAAAGCTGTCCGTGAACAGCCATCAATCATCCATCTGTACGGCAGTAGGAGAGGCCTGTCACACTGCTGGATTCATTTAGGCTGATCCAGCCCATTCCTGCTGGTGACACTCAACTGGTGTCAATGATTTATAATTCTTTGAAGGAGTTTATTCCCACAAACCCAAACCCTACGGCTGATTGGTTGTTTCTTGAGGGTCTGGGTGAAATACCTTAAAAAAAAAAAATCTGCTTCCAAACCACTCCTCAGAGCTGAAAGACATCAATACAATAACTCAACAATTAAAAACTCACCATAAAAAAACACTGATAAAGACTGTGATACTACACAAGAAATGCAAATGTGCTTGACAATGTGCTTCATGTGATAACATCTTAAAACGACTATGTATGTAGGTATAAAACTTGTATGTATGCATGTATATATATACTGTTTTCAACATTGATAATAATCAGAAATGTTTCTTGAGCAGCAAATCAGCATATTAGAACGATTTCTGAATGATCATGTGACACTGAAGAGTGGAGTAATGATGCTGAAAATTCAGCTTTGATCACAGCAATACATTATATTTTACAATATATTCACAGGAAACAGTTATTTATATATTGTAATAATATTTCAAATTGTTACTGTTTCTTTTTTTTTTGACCAAATACATGCAGCCTTGGTCTTACGCTCAGTAAGAGACTTTTTCCAAAAAACATTATACATAGCTTAATTTAGGTCAAATACTGTTTTATTATTAATATAACTGAATGAACCTTACTGCAGTAAGTTCCACTAGCAAAAGTTATTTGAATAAAGACAGTTACATTTTTTTTAAGAGTGCATGTAATTGATATAATTTCTACATAGTCTTTAGCTTTAATAATGGATCTTTTATGTGTTTCTCTCATAGATCTCAGGAATTAAGACGTCTGCCATCTTTGGTGAACAACTGCAATTTATGAAGACATTTTGATGGCGTCCCTCAGCACTTTAATCTAAACAATTTTCCATACAAATTGCCAAATGCAGCACTAATCGCAATCACATATGGTGTGACTCTGATGGGCTGCTATTGCGCTGTAAAGGTGATGCATTCGATGACATGCCGGGTAACCTTTGCAGATGATATTGCCTTTCATTAGGCCACGTGGATGGTAGGTCTGCAATGACACCACTATTACTTTCCACACTCAGGTTGACTCATATTCATTCTCCAGCCCTCATCACACGACAGACAGAATTGTCATTTAAATAGATGCTCCTGCTGGCTGTTTGGACATCTGGCCGTGTGTTTGAAAATCTTCTGTGATATTGCAGAAAAAAAATCAATAAATACATAAAATGCATGACAGGAAATAACATGGGATGGAGAATCATCTTCTCAAATCTCATCCTGTGACCTCGACCGGCTGCCATTAGTCAACATGCAAGGCTTTTCTTCTGAGGTTCCTACATTGTGTTGATCTGTTCAGGTGCCATCTTCTGCAATATCCAAACTAACTTGAGTTTTGCACACGTTTCAATGCTATAAAATATTTACTTAGAATAGGAAAAATTAGGTGTTTTTTTCATAGCATCCACTATGCATCAAATGAGGTGATTATGTACACTGAAAAAAGCCATGTCATTTATTTAAAGTGCATTTTTTTATATTGGCAACACACCTCAAACAAACAAACAAACAAACAAACAAATAAATAAATAAATAAATATTAAATAAACTATTTTGTTTAAATAGTATTTATTTTTCTTGACACCACAGTGTCGATTATTAAATTATTAATAAATTGTGGGTTTTTATTTAATTCAATTTTTATTTAATTATTTGTTAGTTAGTACATAACAGAAAAGATTATGCATAACAATTTATTAAGCATTTATAAGGTGTAAATTCTACTTTTATATTGTAGAAAATTTAGCTTTTTGTTTATGATGAAATTACATTACAAAAGCCAAAACAAACTATTGTATTGCCTGCATTAAATAAGAATTTGGCTGATGTCTAAAGAAAATATATTAATAAGATACAGTCTTTATAATAAATAATTGTTTTACTCTGCATGAATGTATTTTTGTTTTTTTGTCTTTGAGAAATGTAATTATTTATTTGGTTGACTGATTGATTGATTGCCTGAATGATTGATTGATTGAGTATATTAACAAACTTTAAGGTTACCCATAAATATAATTTCAGAAAAACAAATTAATTTGACTGTATTGTAACAAATAAGAGTGTTTTTTCGGTGTGCAGGAAATATCAAATCAGATGGCAAAACTGGCAACCGATGTTTGATGAAAACTGAGGCTCTCAACAGTATACATGTAGTCATGCATACCAAACCATTCTCTCTCCAGTCTCCTACTGAAGGTATGATGTGAATAAATGCATACAATCAATATACAGTGCATTCAGAGCTCACCTAAATAACGGCCCTCAAGTGCTGCCTGCATAATGCAAACCAATGTGGATTTTAGTTTGACGGTTTGCAATCCATTCATGCCAGAGAAATCGAATGTTTGAAGAAACGCTTTATTTCTCAAAGCACTCAAGAGCAAAAATGAATAGAAGAATATTTTTCAGTATGTTCTTGAAAATAACACATCTTTACAGCATAACATTGATTAGATGTGCTGAACTTTTGTTAGAGATAACATTGTATTCTGAAGATAGATCTGTCCCTAAACTCAACTGTGCTCAACCTCTGAGATTTAAATGGAGTGACAGATCGTGGTAATTAGAAATGATGACGGACTGAAAACGACCTGCAAGACAAACCTACAGCGAACTGTCATTAGTGGGTTGTCAGTGTTTTTAACACGTCAAGCACACGTTCATGCTGCTGTGAGCCATGTGTGAGTCTGGCTTATAAATGCTTGACTTCAGTACGGCCCGAAACGTCTTTAAAAACATGTGATCACAACAGACAAGTGAGTACAGTTATATATGTGACATTATCACCAATCAATATCAGACAGAATAAAGGCAAGTGAAAATCAGCTGTGAAAACCTAACCGAAAACAAGAACTATAAATCTTAATTGTAAGTGCCATTTCATTAATAATATATACAGCATATACTAGAAAAACAACAGTGTTCCTTAAGCACAGATAAAGATGCTTTGCTTCATTATGCTTTCATGAGGCTTTTAAGAATTTAGTATGTTGATGCTTATGTGGATTTTAACAAATTTACAGTATTTGTCATGGACTTGACTGGTTATATGCACGAGTTTCACAATTTGAGTTGAATTACTGAAATAAATTAACTTTTCCACGACATTCTAATTTATTGAGATGCACCTGGAACAGGTTTATTATCAATAACTAAAACCATAAAAAAGACTTGAAATAAAAAATTAACTGAAATAAAATATACAATAATATATATAACAAAAACTATAACAGTAAATACATGACTCTAAATTGGCCTTGGTCTTGAGAGCTCATAAACCATATTAGCGAGGTCTGGGTCTCAGACAAGATGTCAGTCTATTTCCATTGTTCTTGAGGTGATAATCACCTCAACCACAGATCGGCACTGTGTCTTCACCATTTCTGAAATCTCATTTCATTTGAAACACTGAATAACGCAGTGGATTCTACAGTTTCACTTCCTTTCAAATGGTTCTTGGAGGTAAATGGTTCCAGGTCTTGGTCTAAAGTTTGGTTCTTTTTATATTGGTCTGGGTCTGACTCTGATTTAGTATAAATGCCTATGTTTGCCAAGTATTTTCAAGACCAGCTGGGCTTTAACTGTGTTTTGTCTATAAATGCTATAGTAGATTTCATCTCTGGTTCAAAGCTTCTCATGAACTGAACTCATGTGGGACTTTTGGTGGATAAGGTTAGATGAATGTTCAATACAAGCTCTTAGCTCTGTGTACAGCATCTGTGGCATGTTGTCGATGACCACAGACTTTCTTCTCATTGTAAATAGGCTAACACATAGTTACAGAGATGCGCTTTGAAAGAAAATGCATGTGGCAAAACCATTGCAATGGAATTAACTGCTGCACACTTTAACATTAAAAAGCATGATAAAATAGCTTACCAACCCTGTCTATATAAACAGTATTATATAAAGCCAATAACACTGACAACTTGTACGTACTGTAGCGTCTATATATATATATATATATATATATACAAGAAAATAAAAAAATCCTACACGATTAAAGTCCGGATCATAAAGAGCCAAGTCTCGGGATGTTGCTGTTCTAATACCTGCTTTTTCTCTGGGTTTGTGATCGGATGAGAGATGCGTTCCTGTTAATGAACACGAATTCTTATCATTTTATCTGTTTCAGATTCATTTACACACAGAACGCAATGTAATACAAATAAAGTAAAATAATGAAACGCCAAATGTAGCTTATTACTAATCAAATAATGGTTAGAAATAAAGACGTGCGCTCTCTCTCTCTCTTCTTCAAACACTGGATGTGCTTCAGTCCCTCCCCTTTCGGTCTGCCATCACCCTCCTCTACAATCCAGTAAAGTGATGCTCGGCGCCTCCTCCTCGTTTCTCTCCGCGTTTCTCAGCAGCAGTCGGACTCTCCATCTCTGCATCCGGAGCTGCACTGCTGTCGGATATTTCCTCCTCAGCTCTGCTTTTACACTCGACCGTTTCTCAGATGCTGCTCAGTGAACCGAACCGCCGGATTTCTCCCTCTTGAGTATGAGAGGGACCGATGACCCATCCGCACAGCAGAACCAGAGCCAGCAGCATGAGCCGCGCCGCCGGACCCGGAGCCTCAACATAACTTTAAAGCAGCGCGGAGCGTCAGATTCCCGACACACGGGTGAAGCAATTTCAGGTGAGTCTTTAAGGTGCTTTCACTGAGCTGGACGTTAAATGTGTGAGCGATGGCGCGCTGGGCGCGTGTGAAACTGAATGTTGGAGGGATGTTACATGCAGCACTTCATGGAGGTCCTGCGCGGCCAGTACATGATGTTTCTTGAGAGGGTCTTCTGCACGGATTTGAACCGGACTAGTTCTGCAGGTGCTTGACGATTTGAGTAACCAACGCGCGTGTGTGTGAGATCTGTTTTCAGTCCACGCATTGCTCATTGTTGCAAGTTTGATTGCGGATTGATGTAGATTTGGTGTATGTGTGGGGGGTTGATGCTGTTTTTTTTCTCTCTCTTTCTCTGCTGAGTCAACTCACAGCCTAAATGCCCATTAGTGCACAAAGCATAAATGAAGTCTCATCACTATTAGAGAATGACACCATATGTTTTCAGAGAGGCTGAATTAATAATTCCGCTTTGCAGTCAGTAATGTCTTTACTCAGCAACTGCACATTCAGGACAAACATGATAGCTAGAACACTGTTTTCTCCTTTGTATGTTTCCTGCTGCATCTGCAAAGTCAATAAACATGTGCACTGCAGTAGAAAGCACAACAATCTCCATCCTCAGGCCTGAATCGCACCGGGAACGTGATGCACAAGAAAGCGTTCACACTCGCATTAAGCTCGGATGTGTTGTGGCGAGGAGCGTGTGTTGCTGGTGAAAAGGGGGCAAATCTTCACGGCTCTGCCACAAACGGCGTGTTGAGGGCATGGAGAGGCTCAAAGCTGGAGGTGAACTTGTGTGAATGTGTTTCTGATGCTTAACTGTTGGGGGAGCTCTCGCACTTTTGCGCTTGATGTCAAATGTGACTTTGAAGCTTTTGGTAATTGAGTGATTATGATGGACACAAAGGCACAGCCTAGAGTCCTAAAGAGTTGTTGTTGTTTTTTTTTTCCGGGATGCATCCCATTACTGGTGCAGTGAATCAAACCTGGTCGATATGCACTTTTCATCTGGTCATATTAGACAAAATTATGACGCCCGTCAATTTTAGTGATCAGTCCACAGCATGCTTTTAGTGGCCTAATTTGGATTGTATAGCAGGGATGCTTTTTTTCAAACCCTAATTATGTGTTATTGATTTTTTGATTCCATCAATAGCAAAATAACCAGTTTGCATTATCCGAGCAATGCAATTTTATTCGCTCACTTATGCAATAAATGCATGCTAAACTAGACACACAGGAATGTCCAATTAAGCACAAACAAGCCACACTTGTGACCGCTTGATAATGTCAGCAGAAGCTCCAGGCGACTCAGTGTCACTCACCCAATACAAACTGGTCCAGGTGCGTGTCGCAGCCTGACGTTCTCCTCCGCACCGTACCTGTTCTGATCGTCATTCACCAAGGCAAATAAAGGGCGGTCTGCATACAGAGCCTCTCTCAGCTCGTCTCGGACCACAGACGTGGAACTGTGGACGCTTGATCTACACCTAGGCCAAGACAAGAATATCAACGACGAGGCTGCTTTGGCAGAGGGAATAATGAGCACTGTCTCATGCTGGCAGGAGTCGCATTGGCTGCCATGTGAAAGGGTGCAGCTGGGTGTCTTGGCGTCTTGGATCTCAGGATGAATCGTGTGCTACTGAACGCCTGCTTGTTTATTGTGCTGGTCTGTAGTGTCATAAAGATGACAAGGCTCAGATGCATCCATCAGTTCCGACTGCTGCCTAGTATTTATGTTTATGTGAAAGCTGAGGTCATGATATGAGACTTAAATGTTGGAAATTAAGTTTTTAGTATGCATAACAAACATGGATTTATTATCCAACCAATGTGAACTACAGATTCAAGATACAGAGGAGACCGGGGCTAGTTGTCACACTTTTTACTTCAGTGATTTTTTTTGTGGTTTTTGTGAAAGTCAGTGTACAGAAACATTTCCACTGTTATGTGATTGCTCAATTTTACAAAAGAATGTAACAGTGTGACAATGTTGCAAATATATCAGTGTAACAATATGACTCCCAGGAAGTGACATCATTTGGAATGCTGGCTATTATTTATGTATATATATATAAAAAAAAAGTAAAAGCTAAGGTGATGATGAGACATAAATGTTGATATTAAAATATTAGTATTCATAACAAATATGGCTACTGAACGCCTGCTTGTTTATTGTGCTGGTCTGTAGTGTCATAAAGATGACAAGGCTCAGATGCATCCATCAGTTCCGACTGCTGCCTAGTATTTATGTTTATGTGAAAGCTGAGGTCATGATATGAGACTTAAATGTTGGAAATTAAGTTTTTAGTATGCATAACAAACATGGATTTATTATGCAACCAATGTGAACTACAGATTCAAGATACAGAGGAGACCGGGGCTAGTTGTCACACTTTTTACTTCAGTGATTTTTTTTGTGGTTTTTGTGAAAGTCAGTGTACAGAAACATTTCCACTGTTATGTGATTGCTCAATTTTACAAAAGAATGTAACAGTGTGACAATGTTGCAAATATATCAGTGTAACAATAGGACTCCCAGGAAGTGACATGATTTGGAATGCTGGCTATTATTTACGTATATATATAAAAAAAAAGTAAAAGCTAAGGTGATGATGAGACATAAATGTTGATATTAAAATATTAGTATTCATAACAAATATAGATTTATCATCCAACCAACAATTACTGTAGTTTTAGGATGTAGGGGAGACTGGGGCAAGTTGTCACACTTTTTACTCCAGTAAATATTTGTCCAGGTGGATTTATTTGTGAAATTTGGTGAACATACTTTGACTACAAACAAAAAAAAAACTGTTGATCATTTTCATTGTTATTGTCCAGAAAAAAAAAAATCACATGTACAACACATTGACTCTGATATAGTGGGGCATGTTGTCACACTGTATGGGGCCAGTTGTTACAATGGTAACCTGCCATTAAAGGCATAATTCCCCCAAAAAATGAAATTATGTCACTTACAAGAATATATTATTGAAGAACATTGGTAACCAAACAGTTTTGGTGCAGAAAAAAAAAAAAGAAAAAAAAAAGTGTATCAAAATATCTTCTTATAAGTTCCACAGAAGAAAGAAAGTCATGGAGGTTTGGAACGACATGTGAATGATTATTTTTGGGTGAACTATTCCTTATTTTAAAGCAACATTTAAACAGTCAAATAGTTATGCAACACAAAACATGACTAAATACTAAATATATGATTGCATGATGATTAGATCTTAATACGCACATTAGGTTTGCCATTATTACCCAAAGTCCTCTCCTTTTATTGGCAAAGACACATCATAATTTCCGACTAGCGCGGCACATGTCATTACAGCATCACAGAGGCGAGAACGTCTCTGGTGTTCTGATTAATTCAAGACTTTAAGCAGATAATACCAGCACTTCTCTCTCTGGGATATGGTAATTGCGAAGCATAGTAAAAAGTCGATCTCTGGGTTTCAGTGATTTGAGTAATCTCAGAACACCTTGTGTTAACAGAAATTAGCTTGCTGCTAAAATTAGCCCGCTGATAATAATCCTTCTATGCTAATATAAAATCAGCACGGAGAACACTAAATGAATATCACCGGATCAATTGATCCAGCCTGCAGAATTCATCTCAGCCTTGTAGCGTTAATATAGACGCCCAAATCAAACATTTATGGGTCAAATATTACAGAGAGATTCTCCAGTGACATGAGCCGGTGTCATCATCAGTCGTCTTGGCAGGATTTCCACGTAATTAGAGGATCTTCACGGTATGTTTCATCATTGACGTTTTTAATGGTTATTGCTGTACTGCAGTTACAGTACTTATGCCTTTAATGTCATATGATGGAAGCTCAGCATAAATGCATGTCAAATTGATTGACTTCACGGGCATAAGAGATCTTAGTACAGTAGAGATCTGTTCAGAAATCATAATGCCTTCAGAGGGGACTAAAGAAACACAAACTCATAAGAGGGTGATTTGAGATGCTCTACATAGGGAGCAATAATGTGAGCTGCACAAACAGATTTCATTTGGTGGCCGTCTTGGGAACGCTGTCATTTCAGTCATGCAAGTAAAGCTCCTATGTAATTAAAAGAGAAAGAAAGAAAGAAAGAAAGGAAGAATGAATAGAACAATAATGACATTAAATATGATTAGTTTTATTCATATCACAAGATTAAATTTATTCATTTAAAATTTATATTTATTTGGAATTAACTTAATTTGACATAACTGTTTTATTCAGTTCAGTGTGCTTCTATAAGAAGGATAGGCAGTTGGCAGACTTTAAAGGTCATTTTATTTTATTTTATTTTATTTTATTTTATTTCTATACTTGAAACAGGACATGCTTATTATTTTATATCAGTTAGTATAACACCAATATTTTAGTTATGTTTGTTTAACCATGTTTGTAAGTCAGTATTTTGATGTAGTATTTAAAAAATGTAGTATTTGCAAAAACATAAAAATAAATACTGTTTCAGCATTGGTAGTATTTATTATTATTATTATTATTATTATTATTATTATTATTATTATTTTTGTTTAAAAAACGAATATAAAACTAATAATAATATTTTTTGTTCGTGGATATATTATAATATTATTTTGGATTTTGATCATGATTGGTGCTGTTATTTATTTTTTTATTTTTTTAAATACATACTTTTATTTAAATAATTTACTTAATTTGACATTGCAGTTTTATTCTGTTCAGTGTGATTTCTATGCAGTTTAAAGTTCATTTTTATACCTTAAATAGATCATGGTTATAATTTTATATCAGGTTGTTTTGCATTCATATTTTAGTTATGTTTGCTTTTACAATTCCAGTCCCCTTTCAGTCAACAGACAACGTTTACATTTAGTTTTATTGTTGGTTTATATCATTAACCCTACATCTCCATCTTTATAATGTCCCTCATAATTTCTTTGACAGCACCAGTGCATGTAGCACTGGTTGATTGCATTCACTGTGACACTGTGAAGAATAATTTTATCTAAACTGTTTCCGTTC